AGCTCCCCCTCCAATCACAGTGCGGGTAGCAGCTCTTCCTCCAATCCCCGCCCAGGTAGCAGCTCCCCCTCCAATCACAGTGCGGGTAGCAGCTCCTCCTCCAATCACCGCCCAGGTAACAGCTCCCCCTTCCAATCACAGTGCAGGTAGCAGCTCCTCCTCCTCCAATCACTGCCCAAGTAACAGCTCCGCGTTCCAATCTCCAACTGAAGGCCCCGCCTGAAAATGCTCGTGGCTGAGAACGCGGACCGATGTGACCAAAGGGAGCCAGGCCCAGCAGAGTCGCCACACCCCACCATCTCTATCACCATCTCAGCACACCCCACAGGCAGAGCCAAAACGGCAAGTCGGGGGTCAAACCCTGGCCGCGGTGCTCTGCCTAAGCGGGCGCTTTAGTCCACTGAGCTGTCAGGCCGGCCTTCTCTGGTATTTCATATCAGTGAGATTCATACCCACTTTGTCCTTTTGTGTCTAGCACCCGCCACTTAGCACTATCTTCTTTCTAAAGTTCAATCTGTGCCAGCTTCACTCCTTTTTGTGGCTGTGTAATATTCCCCACTACAGGCAGATCATAGTCTGTCCATTATTTTATGGCCCCTCAGGCTTTTTCCACCCTGTGGTTACTGTGAATAGTGCTACTCTGTACACTCCACACAAGTGTCTTACTTTTTTTTTTTTTTTTTTTGAGACAGGGTCTCCCTGAGTAGTCAAGCTGGCCTTGAACTCACTTACTGTAGCCCAGCCTGGCTTCAAACTCACAGCGACCTCCTCCCACAGCCTCCCGAGTGCTGGGATTCCAGGGTGCCCCACCATGCCCCTCGGAGTCCTCCTTTGAGTTGTTTCAGGTACAGGCCCAGCAGCGGACTGCAGTCTTTTGCATTCACCCTGGAGGAGCCGCCACACTGCTCCGCAGCAGCTGCCGCATTTTCTGTCCCGAGCAGCTATGTGTGAGACTCCCGGTTCCTCCGTGCGCTCACCAGAGCCCAGTGTTTTCTGTACAAACTCAAGGAACCACCGTGCGGGTGAAGATAGGCGTCCTTTCCTGCAGCCCAGGATTCCACCTAGAAACCCCTAAAAGCCCGAGAACCCCAGCTGCAGCTTCTGTGACTCCACCTCAGAGGAGGCCGGCTGAGTGACAGCCTGAACACACCCTGGGGTCTGCAGACAGGTGTTAAGGCTGGCACTGTCGCCCTGATGGAATGGCCACTGCAGCTGGAAGCTGTGGCCCCAGCTGGGAGGAAGGGGGTGGGGAGAGCTGGAGCAGCGGCCCAGGCCCAGGGATATTTGCTGTCTGCGCCAATATTTCCTGTCTGCGCCCTGCCCCAAACTGCAAGCACAAAATTTAACCGCCAGGCCGGCGAGCCGACCTCCACGAATTCGATCTGCAAGGTTTAACCACGAAGAGCATGGGCTAACGGAACTGTCACACTGCGTCTCGGCCATTTACAACGTGCCTGCGTCAGCTCGAACACGAGTGCAATTATGTGACACAGACGTCACAAGTTCCTGCAGTCCTCATCAAGGGGGAGGGAGCACAGCCGAATCCTGTTACTTAAAAAAGGGGAGAGAAATGCCAGACGTGGTGGTGCACACCTGTCATCCCACCACTTGGGAGGCTGAGGCAGGAGGGTTGCCATGAGTTTGAGCTGAGCCTGAGCTACAAAGCAATAACTTGTCTCCTGCCCCTAGGATGGGTCAGGGAAGTCACCAAGACACATTCAGTAGGAAAATTTGAAACTTTCCACCTCCTAGAAGTCCAGAGTGAAGGCACAGAGTCGGGCTGGGATTGAAAGCCGCACTGGTGTATCAACAGCCTTGGAGCCCTGCCCTTGCCGGAGGGCTGGGGCACTGCAAAGAGCCGAAGAGCCATCCATGGGAGGCTGACAGTTCAATTTTCATTACACAAGGATTGATTCTCGCCCCGCTAATTAGCAGCTCCATGCAGGATGGGCTGTGGCAGGGACTTGAAAATGGCAGGCGGAGAGTGATCTTGTTTGCTGGAGTGGGATTCTTTTAAAGTCAATCTGGAAAAAATAAAAAATAAAAATAAAGTCAATCTGGACATTCAGGAGCTGCCCAGGAAGAGGACTGCTAAAAATGGGCCCAGAGGAGGGACCCGAGGCTGGCTGGGACAGCTCCGCAGGGTCCTGAGGACGGTGGCCTCCATGACTCCAGTCCTTGTTTCTTTAGTGGAAGGGGCTGAACCAGGGGCGGGCAGTCCTATCTAAGGGCGGTCACCACAGAAGCAGGGAGGACACAAGGCAAGTTGTCCCAGTCCACCCTGAGGACAAGGGGAAGAGGAGGGTTGAGGAGAAGTGGGACAGCATCAGGCCTGGCAACCTTGTGGCCTGCACAGGGAGGGGATCAGGTGCTGCTCATCAGCCCCATTGTCACCATCGGCCTCCACAGGCCTTGGGACACAGTCCTCTCCTGGCACTGCCTTCTCTCACTTGTCCCTGTGGTCTCCAAAGAGCCTTTTATATCGCTGCTCTAGGCCAGTATGTCCCCTTCTTGGGACCTCTGCCTGGCTGGTTGTGCAGCCAGCTTTTTGTCACTGACAGAATACTTGAAGGAGCAGAGGCCTACCTTGGCTCACGGCTTCACAGGTGCAGTCCACAGCCGGCCAGCTCCGCTATGATGGGCCTGTGTGCGGCCGGGAGGACACAGCGGAGGAGGGAAGGAGCCAGGGATAGGGGACTCCCAGCTCCCGACAGCCTCAGCCAGGAGCTCACTGGAGGGTTAAGGATGCATCCATGGCTGAACTGTTGCCTCACCATGCAGCTAAGAGTCAGGGCCTTCAGAGGTGAGCCCAGGCCTGCCCTCCTCTGGGGCATCCCTGCCCAGCTCCTCCCCTTTCCCTCTGCTTCTGATCACCAAGGATAGAGCAGCTTTTCCCACCTACGCTCCTGCTGGGAGCCAGACTATCATGCACTGACCCGCCTGAACCATGAGCCAACTCCCGCTCTCCTCCATACCCCAGGGGCAAGGAAGCTTATACGCAGTCAAAGCACGCACACTCATGTACACACATGCGTGTGTGCACACACACACACTCACTCACTCTCTCTCTCCAACCCACCCGAGTGCTGCTGTAACAGCTGTGGCCAAGGGGACATCAACAGAGGACCAGCCCCTCCTGCAGACTACCCCAGCCCAGCCCTGGTAGAGACCTTCACACAGGGTAGAAGAAGCCAGGGCCTCAGGGGCACCCTCCACCCAGTCACCACCCTGCTTTGAAAAGGGAACAAATGGCCTGGTACCAGACTGTGAGTATTCATCACAGCCACCAGACTCACCCCCAAAACCTGTGGGTGACTCCACTGAAGGCTTCAGAGAGCACTGGGGGACACAAGGGGCCCACAAACCCACAAGACCACAGGCCAAGCATTTGAGGACCCGAGGGAGGGGTTTCCTGTCCACCAACAGCCACAGACTTGAGGGCAATGGCTAGGGACAGTGGGTGCCACCTGGGGCACCCTCAGGGGCTGAGTGTAACCCCAGGGTCCTCCTGGGAGCCTTAGGGTCCCCAATGCAGTGTGACTGGGCTCCATGTACCCTCTGGGGACAGACACATGAAGGGCCACGGACACCTCTAGAAGTTGGAAACAGCAAGGAAAGAAAAGGGGTCTCCCCAGAACCGCCAGCAGCAGCCAGCACTGCAGACACCCCAACTTAAACTCAGCAAGACCACACAGGACTAGGGCTTCAAGAGCCATACTAAATTTGGGGTGCCTTAGGCCACGACATCTGTGGCCACTTGTTACAGCAGCCACAGAAAACTTGACATGGCAGGCGACAGGCCCTGCCCCAGCCACACAGCCCTGGCCCCACCCAGACCCCCATATGCTTCCCAACTCCTCCGTCCACAACCCTCACAAGCAGGCTGCACCTGCACACGTGTGCACGCGCACATGCGTGTTTATTGCATAAAACTCATCATAGCACTTTCCCTGTACAAGTATAATCCAAAGGAATAATCCAAAAGGTATCTTGCTGTGCTCAGTTTTTAAAAATATAAAAATAAACACCAGAATTTCTGAGAGACATGAACAAGCCAGTCTGAGGTCAAACCCCAAGGCCCTGCAAAGTGCTGATGACCCCTGGGGCCCCATGGGAACAATACCCCAAGTGACACGGGAGGTCATGGAGTGCTTCAAGGCTTCAAACCCGAAATAACACCGAAACATTTGAACCAGTCAGAGCCTGGCAGGATGGGACCCTGAGAAAGGCCGAAATCCAGGAACATCCTGGTGGCGCAGGCAGGAGTGTGATGCAGGCAGCTGAGGTGTCAGGTGTCCCCAGGCCCAGCTGAGCCTGGACTGCAGGGATCAGAGGCAAGCAAGGAGCGAGACAGAGGGAGGGAGACAGCACACGGAGCCCAAGCGGAGGCCGCCTCGCTTCCCGGGAGGCTCTGTCCCAGGGACGCCAGTCAGGGCTGCAGCCAGGCCCCATCCTTGCCCAGCAGTGAGACCGTCACTCAGCGGGCAGGGCTGCACAGAAGCCAAGTGCACCTCGGCTCTCCCGGGATCGGGTGCGTCCCTGCCGAGGGCCAGGCGGCTGCACTCCTCCCCAGATGACAGAGCCACGGGCCAGGAGTCTTTGCTCACAGAAGCCGCCGTGTGCTCCAGCGCACGCGGCGGGGCCTCAGAAGCCCTGCAGCTCGGGGACGTCCCGGTAGAGGTCCAGCGTCTCAGGGTTGGAGAAGGCCCCGCGGTGCTCCACCGCCCTCCCGGCCAGGATCTCCTTCACCGCCACCTCCACCTTCTTGCCGTTGAGCGTGTACTGCGGGCAAGAAGAGGAGCACGCAGCTCAGACCTCGGGAGGCAGCCCCGTGCCGCAGCTGTCATGCCCCACCCCCGGAGGACCGGCTCAGCCGGCCACAAGCCGCAACAGCCAGCAGGGCCAGGCTGGCCCCAGGAACACAGACGCAGAGCCCAGACAGACGGCAGCCTGCGCAGGCCGTGCTGCTCTGCAGCAGCAGGAGAAGCCACACGTGCCACTCACCAGCACGTCCCCGAGGTCCCCAACGACACAAGGGCCTCAAGAGCAGATAAGCAGCTCTGCCTGAGTCCTGCTCAGGGCCGACATGGGTCTCCAGTCCCTTCAGTCCCTTCTGAGCACATGAACCCTTCTTGAGGTGCAGGGTCCAGAGAAAATCCAGAGCGCAGGCCTAAGCCTGGCAGGAACCCCAAGGAAGGGGTTCAGGGCAGGTCCCTCACTGGGGTGAAGCGCCAATGAGGAGAAGCGCCTGGTTCCTGCATTTCAGGGAGGCACTGGCCTGGTTTTCATATTCCATGGGCCCTCTGCCCCAAGGCATTACAGGACGGGGTCACACACGAAACCCTGCAGGTGCAGCCCAGGGCCAAGCCCAGGAACCTCAGCAACTCCTTGGGGCTCCCCTGGACCAGCCCCTGTAGCCCAAGGTCCAACTGCCTCCCCCATCCCGGGGGCGTCACAGGCACCTGGCACGCCTGAGTGTGCCTCACACCAGGGCTGCTTCTCGCGCCTGAGATGTAATTAGCATTCATTTAAAAAACTGAGCCGATGTGGAAGCTACTTAGGGTCCTAAGCCGTCTCTGAAGGATGGCCTGTCAGCTTAGCCACCGCCCTCTCGCTGGGACACAAAGTCTCTGGTGTGGTCTCTGGTTTCCAAGCTCCCCTAGGCCATGCCCAGTGCCCAGGACAATGACAGGACCATACCTCCCCACCCCGGCTCCCAAGTCCCCCAGCCTTTGTTTTTCCTGGATACTGTCTTGCTAGGTAGCCCAGACTGACTTCACGCTCACATAGACTTCTTGCCTCAGCCTCCCAAGTGCTAGGATTTCGGGTGCGTGTTACCATACCTGGACCCCTGGGTCCCGATTCTGCCTGTGTCCCATGCCCTCCTGGGCATGACAGGAGTTGGGCTCCTGCCCTGCATTACAGACAGGACTGGGAAGCAGCTCGTGCACCAGCCAGGCCCCAACAGGTAGAGGCAGCGCAGGCCAGGCTGTGTGAGCTGGGGCCTCCTGCACCCCGGACCCTGGCTGAACAGCAAGCCCTGACGGTCCCCACAATGCTGAGCGGGGGCCCTAGCTCGGCCTTCTCCAGCAGTCTAGAGGACACAAAGCCTCGGGCAGGAGTGCGTGGTCTGCCACCTTGGGAGGGAGGATAGCAGTGTCACTTAGCCACAGGGACACAGAGTACACAAGTTATTCCAGGCACCACCGTGCCACAGAGGAGAGCACAGCGCCAGGCGTACCGGGATGCCACGCGTCTCCAGGATGAGGCTGGGCACGTGGCGTGCGGACAGCCCCAGGCGGATGGCGCTGCAGATGCGTTTGACCAGGTCAGGCCGGAAGACGTGGCCGGAAGCCATCTTCAGGAAAAGGACCACCCGCTCCTCGCCGTCCTTGTTGTACTGCGGCACACAAAGGCTGTCGCCCACCTCCTCAAAGGCCTCCACTGCGGAACAGGAGGGCGCACAGGGTCACAGGAGGCCCGGAGCTGGCCGTGCGCCCGTGGGCCTGGACAAGAGGCCACCTGCAGATTGGACTTAGTGACAAGGAAGAAGGGACAGGTGCCCTGTGGACAGAGGGAGAGACCGGCACAGGCAGGCCCAGTGATGGCCAGGAGCTAAGTCCACAGGCCTGCAGCCTACACCCACAGTCCGCATGGTGCTGGGCGGCCTTCAGCACTCACATGACCTCGTGTGCTTCTGCTTCTCCACCCATGCCGTGGAGACCCAGCAAGCTCACGCTGAGGTGCAGTGCTGCAGGACAGGTTGGGGGGTGCAGCAACCTTCCGCCCCAAGGCTCAGGAGCAGGGGTGCTGCATTCAGTGTGCACGAGGGCCTGCTCCACCCTGGCACCAGGAACGGAGAGACCCGGAGGGGAAGGAGGAAACACCTACCGATGTTGTAGATCTCTGAGCTGCCAAAGCGCACTCCATTGGGGTTGAGCGTGCCGTCGCTGAGGGAGACAGGGTGTGAGCCAGGGCGGGGCAAAGGAGGCAAGTCCCGATCCCCCTCCCTCACAGTGGCCATGCCCCTCGGGGGCTCACCTTCCCCATACTCTACCCCCACCAGACCACCACCTGCACCTCCAGACCCAATCCTGACAGCAGGGTCCCCTCTGTGTCACCTAGCACCACACACAAGATGAGCCCCACACCAGCAGCCGATGGGGACAAGGTCACAGGCAGAGACAGATACACACTACGTCTCTGCTCTAGCCACATCCCCTACCCACTGCAGCAGGGCAGGGGACCAGGAGTGGCACAGAGGGGACAGTGCTAGCAGGGGACAGCACCAGCAGGGGACAGTGCCAGCAGGGGTGTATAGGCAGGGACCAAAGCACCAAGGCAGGAAGGCGCGGATGCAGGGCTGCGGACAGGCCAGGAAGGGGTCCAAGGGACCCCAGCAGGAACAGGCAGGTACCTGTGAAGACAGGAGCTCCCACCACACCAGCCGCGGGAAGCCACAGTCAGCTCACCTGCGGCCCAGCATGACAATGCCGCCCGTCTTGGGGTTGATCCGGCAGTAGTCACCGTGCGCCCAGACACCTGCAAGAGGCCCAGTGCGGTCACCCTACGGGTGCAGGGAAGATAGGATGCCTGGACAGATGCCCCTGACCAGCTGGCCGGTGACAGCTGTGGCCAGCAGATATCACAGGGTGGTGGCAGTCAACAAGGGCACTGGCAAGGCCTGCAGCAGGAGTGCAGTGGGGGCAGCAAGGCCCTGGGGCAGGGACCAGGACCTGCTGCTGGGAAGTGCTGCTGGACTGGAATAAAAGCAGGGCCATGGCAGGCCAAGCAGACAGCCCCAGCCCTGGGGACACAGCAAGCTAGCAGGTGACCCAGAGTGTGGAGGGCAGGGAGAGCACATGACCAGAGGCTGGGCTCACCTCTCCCACACTGGAGAGAGCACCGTCACCCTGCCCCAGCCTGCCATGGGTGGAAAAAGCCAGCATGGAGTTACATCGCCTGCCACCACCAAGGGCCCAGGTGGCCCCAGGGGCTCCTGCAATCCAGAGGGAAAACACTAAACAGAATAGACCCAGAGCGCAGGCCCGGCGAGTGTGTGAGACGACCCGGGGCCGGGGATCCTGAACAGACCAGAGCGCAGGCCGGTGAGTGTGTGAGACAACCCAGGCCGCCGGATCCTGAATAGACCAGAGCGCCCGGTGAGTGAGTGAGACACAGGCCCGCAGATCCTCATTCGACCCAGGCTGCAGGCCCAGCAGGGAACCCTTCAGCAGAACTCCCTGCAAAGAGGCTAGAGGCAAGACCCACCCAGCTGATTCAGGAGCAGAACATCTTCCCAG